TGATCCTTCTTTCTTCTCGCAGCAGACTTGCGTGCATCATGCAATTCATTGATCGGTGGCCTCTGATCGACAGACGTAACATGCTTCATACACTTTTTAACCCTTAGTATTCTTCTCAGATTGTGCAATTCTTGGTATTCCAGCCTATTGATAGTATCGAGAAGCGTGCAATTTTAATGAAATGCTCGTGGAAGTGAATTGAAACGATGCCACCTTACCATACGTTAGTAGCAACACTGTAAGAATTATGCCGGCAATGGAATATCGATAAATCAAGACTATAATTCTGATGGCTCACATTAGTAACCAGTAATCGATCATGGCGCTGAGCTCATCGGTGGCTCATCAGGTGACGAGCAACGTGATGTAGATCTTCTCGATTTCAGACACCTTTCCACTTCATGTCAAGCTTGCACATACGTATCATTCAGTTGACCGATCAAGGCTCTGATAGAGAGAAGGTGTGTATCTCTATCCTCCTATCATTTCCCAGCTTACCAATATTGGATTTTCCTTCCTCTCCACATCAAACTTGAATATGCATGCTTTTAACATGCAAGTGATCGATCAATAGCCTGATAGGGAAAATGCGTACTGCTCTCCTCTGCCCCTTGCTTTTTTTCTGGAGAGCTGAAAAGTGCAGCATGTATTTATTTTTCGTCCCTTTTGGGAAACGCCTTGTATAACCCTCGCTTAGCAGTAACCTGCAAGATGAATCAATTTTGTCTTGCGGACGCGTACACAGACTGGGGATTGTGTTGGGTCAGATGATATGCCAACTGTTGCTCTATACCTAGCATAGCTGTCTCCATATCAGTGAAATGAAAAGGTGAATGCACCCATACCTAATAGTATCGCCTTGTAGGTGGCACACTGGCTACTTCATTCTCGTCCAAGGTTTTCATCACTACCTCCCTTGTTCCAAACTCAACCTCGTCGCCCACCCCATGCTGCCATGTAAGACTATGCTTCATCCACTGTGCATCGTCTCTCTCTTTGTAATCCTCTCGTGCATGCGCACCTCGGCTCTCCGTCCGCTTCAGCGCCGCTGTGCTCGTCTGCGTGGCGTTTGTGAGTAGGTTGCGCAACTCTAGCGTCTCGATAAGGTCGGAGTTCCAAATCAGGGATTTGTCTGTCACACGAAGATCTGTAGCGAATTGGTTCTCTAGTGAAAGAAGTTGAGCGTGACCCTCGGCAAGAGTGTCGTGGGTACGGAAGACGGCTGTGGTGGATTGCATGGTTGATTGCATCTTGCTTCTTAGAGCGGAGGTGGGGGTCGTCCCGTTGGAATGGGTGAGGAAGGAAGCTAGTTCATGGATGGCATCGAGGCCGGTGGTATTCGGGGTTGGTTCGTGCGGTGCTGCGGGGGAGTGGTGTGACGAGATGTGGAGTGCAGCTGCTCGGCCCTGTATGGATATGTCAGTAAAAAGTACGGTGGATGTGGGAATTCCACCTCCAGGGTGTACGCACAAAAACAACAATATCGAGGAGAGAGTTGGCACCCAGTCGGTTTGCGCCGTGAACGCTGACGCAAGCCGCTTCACCTGCTGCATACAGGCCATCCACAACACGCTCCTTCCCACTCTGGCGGTCTACATCCAAAACTTGACCATGGTAGTTTGTTGGTATCCCGCCCATACAATAGTGAACTGTTGGCAGCACCGGGATGCATTGTCTAGTTACGTCTATGCCAGCAAAGATTGCCGCTGTGTCCGCTACGCCTGGCAAGCGCTCTTCAATAATGTATTTTGGGAGGTGCATGAGCTGCAGGTCAATGTAATCTTTTTTGGGTCCACACCCACGGCCTTTGAGGATTTCCAGATTCATACTTCGGCTGACTACGTCGCGGGATGCGAGATTTCTTGAGACGGGAGCATAGTTGTACATGAACGCCTCGCCTTCAGAGTTGAGGAGATAGCCGCCCTCACCACGGGCGCCTTCTGTGATCAGTACCTAGAAACGATTTCAGTGTTTTGAAGTAGTAACGCGAAATTGACCATACATACGCCTGCACCATAGATACCAGTCGGGTGGAATTGGACAAATTCCATGTCCTGGAGTGGTAGGCCAGCTCTGGCAGCCATGGCACTACCATCTCCGGTACTTGTGTGAGCGCTCGTGGCGCTAAAATATGCTCGCCCGTAGCCTCAAATCGCTGTCAGTACGCACGAACGAAGAAAAGGGATGGGCGAACTGGGTGAAAGTATACCTCCAGTAGCCAACACAGTATTCTTAGCAAACATCCTATGACACGTTCCATCCTCCATACTCATCGCAGTAACACCCACACACTTCCCCTCGACCATCATCAAATCGAGGACAAACCACTCAATAAAAAACTGCACACCATGTTTCAAACTCTGGCCATAAAGCGTATGAAGCATAGCATGCCCTGTGCGGTCCGCCACACACGCGGTCCGATACGCCTGGCCACCTTTTCCATACTCGAGGGTCTGACCACCCAGGGGTCGTTGATAAATCGTACCTTGCTCCGTGCGGCTAAAGGGCATACCGTAGTTTTCCAGTTCGACGACTGCAGGCACGGCTTCGCGCGTCATGTAGTGGATTGCGTCTTGGTCGCCGAGCCAGTCGGAACCTTTGACGGTATCGTACATGTGCCAGCGCCAGTCGTCCCTGTGCATGTTTGCGAGGGCGGCGTTGATGCCGCCTTGGGCGGCGACGGTGTGGGAGCGGGTGGGGAAGAGCTTGGATACACATGCGGTTTTGAGGCCAGCTTCGGTGAGGCCTAGGGCTGCGCGGAGACCTGCTCCTCCTGCTCCGACGACGATTGCACTTTGGGGTTGTCAGTAGTGGTCTGGGCAACACTGAGAGTGAAGGAGGCGTTGTTACTCGTAGTGATGGTCAATAACTGTTATGTCCTCGATACTTGAGCTAGTGGTTGAAGCGAGACATCTTCGCTGCGCCGAGTAAAGATGTTTTGGCAGGAGAAGATTGGCATGGGAGCGCCATGGAGCTCGCACAAACGCCCGCATCATGAGGGGATTTTTGGAAGCATGGTGGGTTGCATGAATTCCGGGAGTTGTATATCATGTCGGTCTACCCCTCTGGGCCAGCTGATCCTCGGCTGTATAAGATTCGGGTGGCTGGACTAACTGTGAAGCGGTTCATTGGGAATCGTTCTTGCCCAAATCTGAGAGCAAGAAAGTAAAGAAATCCGGTAATATACAATAGCTCCAGATAGTTTAGTTTGTCTTTCTATCCAAAAATTGCACTGTACGCGACGAAACTTCAGATGGCGATGTGTGGGGTGTTACAAAAGGTGGGATGAAAGCAGGTGTTGCATGACTCGCGCGATTACCACTGGGTATAGCCGGCAGCCAATCGGGAATAGGGTAATTGAAATATCGCAGGAACGCTGGGCGATTCTTAGTCGGCTATTTGCGATAATTTGTATGCTAGCAAATTTGTAGCTTTCTCTCCGAACGCACATTTAAATTTGCTGGATCCTGTCCAACTGCAAAGTGCATGCTGATTTTATTGGTGGATCCGATACAGAGCTGGGTTGTGTAACATCCACTCTGGTGTTGACAACATTGACACTGGTGCAAAAGTTGAATAGTGCACTACAGTAAGAGTAGGGAATAGATTCACAACATGGGTATTAGAAAATAAATAAATAAGAATGCGCCCTTTTCCATACGGTGCGTAGTCGCAACCTATGGCACCCTGCGCTTCAAACTGCCAAACGCCCATAACCATACGCCGTTTGCAGCAGCTGTTCATTAAAGCATTGAATCGTGTACAATCGTGATGGAGTCGCGTAGTTTTGCGCCCATAGCCCTGGAACTCCTGCCTGATAACGCCTGTGAAACCGACTTTTGCTGACGCCCATCACCGTTGCATGTACATGCCGGTGGTGGCCATGACATGGCCGTAGCGTTCATTGGCATGCCAGAGGTACTTGAGAAAAACAATTGCCTTTAGGTAGGCCTTCATGATGCGCCTTCTTCGGGCTCGATCGGCCTCGAGAATCCTGCGGAGGGCCTTTGAAACGGCCAGCGAGGAAGCAACTCTTCGAGAAGGGGCCTGGATAATTGCAGGCCATGAAGTGGCGCGGGTGAGAGCGGGTGGGCTTGCGATTGAGGCCTCTGGCAAGAAAGCGTCAGGGGTGTCTGAGACGTCATTGAGCGAGGCTGGGCGGTGCCGAGCATCCAGAGGGTCGTACTCGAAGACTTCTGGAATGCTGCCCAATGTGGGAGCAAAAGTCGAGGAGCGCGGCGAGTCTGCATGGGGGGACATTTGGGTGGGTTTGGTTTGGAGGGCGGATTGCTTCCCTCTCCGTTGTGGTGGTGGTGGGCGCGAGGCTTTCTTTTTAGGGGTGCGCGGCAAGAGAGGGATGGAGGCAGGTGTGGTGGACCAAAAAGGGAGAGCGAGTCGCTTAGAGATTGTTTGTTTTCCTGGGCCGCGAGGCAGCAGAGAGTCGCATGGCGGGGCGGAGAAGAGAAGCATGACGAGCAGGTGTCACCAGCGGGCAGTTTGTGAATGCCGAGCTGAAGTCAAGTCGGGTCAGACTAGGGGGGAGTGAATTAGTCGAAAACAAAGCAAAGCAAAACAGCAAAGGGGCCCGGCTGGCATTTGAAGGCTGGCATCACACACACACACACACACACACATGCACACACGCAATAGCACTAGGTGGGGATAAATCAGGCCTGCCGGGGTTTGCAGACTGCAAAACGAGCACTGGCCACGGGCATCCATGAATAGGGACAGGCTGGGTGACGGCCATTTGCACGGGTGCGGGTGCAGGAGGGAGCAGCAGCGCGTGTGTGCGTGCATGTGGGAGCAGAGTGCCGTCCGCCAGTCCGCCAGTCCGCCAGTCCGTCAGATTGCGTGCAGCCAACCGGACGAAGGAGCAGCGAGCCGGCAGTTTGACGGGAAGCAAACGGTCGAATCTGGGACTGGGGAATGCTGGAGAGGTTCGGGAGATGTACGCAAAAAGCCCCACTGGATGGAGGGCACGATGAGCAACATGGCATGACGTCGCAGAGCAAAAGTTTGGGATCGAGAGATCGCGAAGACACAGGCACCGCCAACCTCGCACTAGCCGCCCGCCAGCCAATCACACGCCGTCCCCTCGTATACGCCCCGCTGTTCCCGCACACCACCATTCACCAGCTCTCACCACCTGGCCGAGGGTGATACGCCGCCGTCGTCCACGCCGTCCTGCCTTTAGAGTAGTCGGCCTCCTGCTGCAGCCCCCTTGCTGCGTCATCGGGCAGTAACCGTCGAGCACGTCTGCGTGGCCTCTCGTGCTATGTCGTGGCCAGCCCAGCCTGCCCCGTCCGCGGACCTGAGGTGCCTGGACGGGCTGCATATACGCATACACGACCCATTCTAGACTACCAACATCATCTTTACACCCACCAACCAGCCTGACACGACAAACGTCTTGCATCATGCTCGCTGCCGAATGAGAGCATGAGGGCGCTGCCCTGGTCTTGTGTAACCATGGGCCTCAACCGCCGTTTGCCTATAGCCCGCCCTCTGCCTGTGCCGTAACATGTGCCTGTCCCTCTCTTCCCCCCTCTCTCTCTCTCCCTCCTTCTCCCCTCCCCTCCCTCCCACCATCTCTGACACACGCTTAAAATATCCCAACCACCCGTTTCTCTCGTGATATCCGCACTAGCAGCCCGAACCAACCCACCCGCTCCAGCATGACATACACCATGAAGCAAATCGTCACATGCCTAAGCGTCCTGGTAAGCCGGCCCAGACTGCCACTAGGACCCCACCCACGTGTTATTCGCACCCTGTTAACCATATGCCCCGCAGTATCTCGTTATTGCGACTGCGCTTGCTGGGTATGTATGGGTTTGCTCTTTCAATCCCTCGCCCACCCAGCCATCCTAGCCCACTTGGCGCTAACACTCTCAGTTACGCTGCCTCCCGTGCGAACGCCCGTTCCGTTCCCATCGCAGAGACGCTGACCGGCTTCACCGCGGCGCTTCCCATTGTCTCTGGCCTGCTGCTTGAACTGGGCTATGACCTGACCCGTCGCCGCGAGCGCCGCCAGCGACTGGGCCGTGGCGACATCCAGCGGCCCCCGCTCGTCATCATCGCCAACACGCTCATCTTCATCTACTCAACCGTCATCATCACCCTGTCAGGTACCCATGTCGCTCCTGCCTCCAGCCTAAACTGCGGTCTGCGAGAGCGCTGGCAGACGCTGTTCAGGCACAAGGATGCAGCTGCCATTCGACACATCCAGGATGCCTTTAGTTGCTGTGGCCTGGCAAACTCACGTGACATGGCTTGGCCCTTTCCAGACCGCACCCATGATTCGCGTGCATGCGAAGCCACGTACCATGGTAGAGCCAGCGGATGCCTGGTTGCGTGGAAAGCTGAGGAGCAAAAGATTGCAGGCTTACTCATGACTGTTGTTGGCATGGTCTTTCTCTGGCAGGTTCGTGGCTCCAAAGGAGAATTTTTCACCCGAGGGGCTGCATGTGCTGACACTGCCCTGCAGTTTGCTATTATCGCCATACCTACCCAAAAGGATTCGTGGCTTCATAAAGTTGTCCCAGACCGCCTTTCTCGCGTCCTTGCTGGCGACCAAGGCGGTGATGCTGACTCCCGTCGTGCCATTGACTATGTTCCTGGCTACAACCGCTACTCGGATCGCATCGAGGAAGAGGCTGAAGACGACAATGGGCAGACTCCTGGACGTGCAATTGAAGATGGTATTCATCACACTGACCATGTTTTTCCCGCGCAGATCGGACGCGACAGGCAGCCATCTGTGGAGAATGAGTGGTCGAGGGGAGCATGAGACATCCTAACGTGGGACATGTCAAAAAGCATGTTTCACCCGGCATCACATTTTTCGACATTCATGCCAGGACATGAATATGTTCGATATCTTATCCCTAGTGGTTTATCCTAACCAGTAGTAAATACTCGCATCTTCGTAAAGTACCATCCTATGGTTAGATTCACCCATCAAGACTGCCATACAGGCTACCATCTAACATTACGAACACTGGCATACATTTCACACATGATCAATTCACAATGTTTCTACGACCATCTCAGACATGACTATTACACCAAACATTTTATAGTACAAGTACAGCAATCGCTGCTAATACACGATACCTCAGACATCATCAACACACACTATCCATAAAAACGTATATATAAATTGACCTTCTTCTCCTCTTCAGTTTCATATTCAACAAACACCTCAATCAACTCACTAACAAAACCCACTAACCAAGCTACTCACCAAAACTACACACGCACTCAGCCTACACCTACACCTACATCTCACCCCAACCCTAAAATCCCAAACTACCCACCCTCCACCATGTCTTCTTCATCATCCTCCAATACCCCCTCTATCCCCATCATCACGATGACCGACGACCAGGGCACCTCCCGTGCCATTGGCACCAACACCTTTGATGCCTTCTTACCCTCATCGCACTTGACCACCATGAGCGACCTCGCAGCGGCCAAACAGGCCAAAAAGGACGCACGCAAGCCCGCTGCCCTCGTTAGGAAGAGCAGCAAGCGCGTCACCGACGCGCTCAAGATGGGGGTTAGGTCGATGAAGAGCAAGGGAAAGAAACATGGCGAGAACATGGAGCTGCCGGAGGGTGCATCTTTCAAGGTCCACAAGGTGGTCAAGGTTGAGAGGAAGTGGGACGAGTAAATATGTCTTGTTTTAGCAGTTTCATTTGGGCTATTCTTTTCCGGCATTTCTTGGAGTTTGCTTTCAAGGTACAAGTTATTCATTCACCATCATCTCTTAGAATCTCATATAGTATGTTAGAATAAAAGAATTGCTTCATCGCAACATCAAAAAAAGTCTTCTAATTTCCTCAATCCTCAAACGTATTATTTTTGATAAATCATCTAACTCATTTCCTTTGAAGTTCTCATCTAACATAGCTAGCCAACCACCCCGTCACCTTTTTTTGCCGAAAGAATACAAGCAGCAGCAGATATATCCTCCAGTCTTTGAAAAAAGAAAAAAAAATATGCATGACGAAGCCAAAACGGGTTAAACGCCACACGCTCAAGATGCTCTAAAAACTACGTATCCCTTCCAGAAACAAGAAAAAAAAGGAGAAAAGGGGATTGATACTGATAGCCCATTTTTAAAATCCCACGGCAAGCATAAGGCCATAGCCCACCGTGATAATGACGACAAAAGTCATAATGGAAGCAGGTACACCACGAGTCAAAAAGTGCTTGACGGCGAGATACCGCTGGCCTGTCCGTGAGTCTTCCATCATAATAGCAGCTGTTCAACTCGTCAGTGATTTGATCGAATAAAAGCCCTATACGAAAGGATGTCAACTTACTCATGTTCGGGAACCCGCTAGTAGGCAATCCCATAGCTCCACTTGCCATCAGCACCGCGCCCATGACAAGCAAGTTCGGGTGCGGCTCCGCCATCTGCTGTCCCACCTGCTGCACCAGCGGCAGCACAATAAGCGCTGCGACGGTATGACTGATAAACGTCGCCACAACCAAGATCAAAGCGCAGAAAACAACAAGGACACCATACAGACTCATGCCTTCGACACCAGCAGTGATGGACTCGGCAATCGTATGCAGGAGACCAGACGAATTGACTGCTTTACCAAGCGATAGACCACCAGCGGCAAGAATGATAATGGTCCATAGGAAGTTGTTAAAGTCTTCCTTGGTGAGGATTCCAGTGCCAAAGAAGAGGACAATGGGGATGATGGCTACGACGCCCATGTCGCCAAAGATGAATTCCAGCTGGTGGCTCACACACCAGAGAGCAATCGTTACAATGGTCACAATGCTGATAAAGTACTGTACGCCAGTGAACCTGTCCTTGAGTGGGCGGATAGGCACAATGCTGGTGCCCTTTCCAGGCTGGAAGGTGACGAGGAGAAGTACCCAGATGAGCAAAATGGAGATGATGCATACTGGGAGGGCTACGAAGAACCAGACGCCCCAAGAGGGCTCGGGCTGCATGTTCTGAAGCGCAATCAGGTTCTGTGGTGAGGCAATGGGAGAAGCAGCTCCACCAATGTTGGAGGAGAGCGCGATCCCCATTAGTAGTGCTTTGGTCATGTCAGAGTCGGCAGGGAGGTTGCGTAGAATGGGCTAATAATGAATGTTAGCTTAGCATAATCAAAATTCCAGTTGAGGAACATACCTGGATAATCGAGAAGCACAGTACGGGCGCTGCTACATTACTGATCCACATGCTGGCAAACATAGCAACAAACATGTTGACCAGTAAAACCGTTCTGGGCTTGGTGCCTGCCTTGCTAAGCACAAGAGTGGCCATCATCTTGGCAATGTTGTACTTGGAAAGCGCAGCAGCAATAGTGAAACCACCGAGCAGCAGCATAATGACTGGTGTCCACATGGCGGAAAAGACATATGAAGCAGCTTGCTTGGAATCGAGTCGGCGATGGGGCTCAACATCGCTTCGAACGACGTTGAGAGTGACAGCCAGGAATGGCACTAGAAGCGATGTGACAAACAGAGGAATCGCCTATTCTCGTTAGCGTGAGCTCGACTAGTCCAGATTCGGTTCAACATACCTCCGTCGCCCAGAGCAAACTAACAAAGACAACCATGGCCAGGCAATTCTGCTGCTCAGGCTTTTCCATGATTGGCAATACCAGCAGCACTACAAAAATGGCAATGCAAGTAAGGAGCATCCAGAAAGGCTTGCTGATGAGCCATTGCGGACATCTGTATCTTCCAATCGGTGTGTCCACCTCCTTCATGTCTGATTCGTCGTCGTCGCCCTGCCGCCGCACTCTACCACCGGTAGTTTCGCGGCCCAGCAACGTCTGCGTGATGCCAATGTTGGCTGCCTGCGCCTTGCGCTCAATGCCAATCATTTCCCTCCATACCGTGTTTCGCTCCCAGACAACGTGCTCTCGCAGATGTAGTCTTAGCTCGCGCTTGGCCTCTGCTATGTCGCCCTTTGTACCAATCTTGGCATACGCCGCCTCTATGCGCTCGAGGTTGCGTGACAGCTCGTCCATGGTGCTTTGCTCGAAGGGATAGGCGGGGTAGACGTATTTGGTCAGGTACGTCTTCTTGAGCTTCCGGTCCAAGATCTTGTCGTACTTTTTCAGAACCTTTTCGAACCCTGTCTTGTTGAGCTGGATAAAGGATCGCAGCTCGCACAGCAAAACGTATACGCTGACAGTGCGCTTCTTCAACGATACACCCTCGTCGTACAGTGCGGAAAAGGCCATGTCATGGTAGTCTTCGAACG